GAATTAGAACAGAGAGCGCTAGAGTTAGAGAGTCAAATAAAAATGGAAGAGCTGTGTTTTTAGCCGATTCTTGAAGATGACTGAGTTTGGCAGGTCATTCCACCAGGAGGGAACATTTAATTTAAAAGTACGTGAAAATTTATTTAATGATTTATATTAAATAAATAAGTACACTTTAGTAATTCACAATGTAAGTATAGTACCATTGCATTGCAATAGTCCAGTCTGGACAGAACAAGAGCTTGAACAAGGAGTTGTGAAGCATGTTCCGAAAGAAAGGGCCTGATCTTCTTGATGTTGAATAAAGCAAATCTGCAGGACCGGGCAGTTTTAGCAATGTGGTCTGAGAAAGTCAGCTGATCATCAATCATAACTCCAAGGTTTCTAGCTGTTTTTGAAGGAGTTATAGTTGATGTGCCTAACTGGATGGTGAAACTGTGATGAAACAATGGGTTTGATGGAACCACAATCAGTTCTGTCTTGGCAAGGTTGAGTTGAAGGTGATGGTCCTTCATCCAGCAAGAAATGTTGCAACTTAATAAATAGAACAAAGTTGCAAATAAAATGAAGCTGTTAAAGGACAAACAGTAGACGGGACTGAATGATTCAGCAAGTGGCGCTTATGGAACAGCAACGCTAGTGTTTCCTTTGGTAACTGCTACGCTTATTAACAACTGCTTTTTAATGCATTATACAGAGGCAAGATGAAAAGAAAATTCCATGTAAACCTTTCTGAAAACAGACCGTACCCCTCAGAGAACCATTCATATAAAACCTTACCCCCAATTCAATATTTAGGATTTTCTTTCAATATTTTGTGCATCGTGAACAGTGATCCTGCTCTGCCTGCTACAGTATTTTTTACTCTTTGCGTCTGCCTTCAGTGTCTCTGGCCTTCGTTAACGGCTGTTTACACACTTCGTAATATTTCCACACAAATATAGCGGTCTTTCACGTCTTGCTTGAATGCTTTAAAATCGCTTGAATTATCAAATTAGCAAGGCTTAGAAACAGGTGAAAATTATACATTTTGTGATGATACAGCAGTGGCATGACAAACTCGTCAACTGTCCCAAGCGTCTTTCACGCTGGCCCCGGGCAATGAGGCAGTCCATATTGTCAAGCCCTGTAATTGGTGGTAGATATCCGTAAGATATTACTCATTTGTCGTGAACTGACACTACTTTTTTTGCTAAGCCCATACACAAGATACATTCGGTTCAATGGCATTGTTTACGTTCAGTGACGTCACAAAGACTTCCAGATTGATGACGTAATGTGAAAACACTAGTCTATTGTTTTGTGAGCGGCGGAATGTTTGGAGAGAGTGGGTTAAGCAGTAAGCATCAATCAATAAGAGCGATTTTGAACTTAAGAACTTGGTCAAAAATATGTTGAGGACCAATACATAACCTCCAAATACATCTACATAAACCTGCGCTCGCTCGGTCTCGTTTGCACGCACTCACTGTCACGATCTAATGCACTTGTTAATGCTAAATCCTTTCAAACAAATACTGGAACTCAAAAATTCAAAATCTGACATTTTCCGGAACAGGATCTGGGCTTTAATTAAAGGTGTAATAGGTGATTGTCTTCAGAAACATTTTTTGTTATGCTGGTTGAAAGTCTCTTCACATCCCGATAGCAATCATTAAGTTAAGTGGTCTAAATGTATTCGTCTGTATTTATATATTCTGTGGAAGGCGTAGGACCAAGAAACGTTCGTCCAATCAAAACGCTCGGTCCGAGCGTTTTAATAAGCTTTCCTACCTGCCTGTCAACTTATGTATCTGCATACCTTTGCGCACCCGGTTCGCGCAGACAGGACACGTCATCAGCGCGTTCACACACGCTGTGCAGACAGAGCGAGGATGGCAGGCAAACATCAACAACCCGATCTTCCTTCCTGGTATTGTAGTACTTTTAAAGTTTTCTCACCGGTGAATGACACATGATGTAGCCCAGCGATTAATCCAGTCCTCGCGCCCCCCTCTCTGCATATTTTGAATGTCTCGCTTAGTTAACACACCCGATTCAGATAACCAGCTCGTTAGAAGTGAGCTACGTGCATGAACTGTGTTCCCATCGATAAGATCGATAAGATCCCTACACAGTGTTCATTGCTCCCTCCTCACTGAGCGGGGGAAATACGTTGAAGTTTACTTCACTTTGGAACATGGGCTGGAATTGGGAACCGCTGATCTAGCCTATTGTAGTAATGTTGTCTCTGGTACTCTGGTCTGTGAGTGAGCGTATATGCATTCAGGGGGCATGGCTTTGGACGGCGATTGCAGGGAGGGTGGGACATTCGCTTTCAGTGCTATCAGGCTAAAGTTAGCATTTTCCAAGATCTCCTATTACGCCTTTAAGCACTAAGTGTAGGCACACCGGTGACTCTGGGTGCAGTTCAAAATCCTGCCGTGCCAGAGAGTGCCACTCACATAGTTTTCCATTAAATTATAATATATTTGTCCTAAATTATTGTTAATGTATGTAATGACTTCATCCTAGGCTGGAAGATTGTGTATTGAGCATTTTTCAGTGAAACGTCTGTCTTTTTGTGGTACCAATAAGGCCCGTGCTTCATACAACATTATGCTTTCTCGGTTTTTTCAATCACCGAACTTCAAACTCTTTGACACCACTTGCTCATTCCTGAAGTGAACTGTTTGGAGAATAGATGAAAGGTTTTGGACTGCCACCTTAAACTAAATGCGAAGCGTCCTGTGTGTGACACGTGAGTTGCTCTAGAGACGTAGCACAGTGCTGCGCTTCTCTTTCAGAAATGCAACTAGAAAACAGTGCAGCGAGAGTAACTGATATCAACAAAATAAAACATAGCTAAATTTAAGTCAAATAAAAATCCTTATTACAAATGTATCATCACACAATTGGTCTGTGCACAAAACCAACAATTGTAATTTTTAATATAAGCCAATAAATCATGACAGCTCTCACAGCATTACAAATGAACAACAGACACTTCATGACAAACAAGCAGTGTTATTAAATTTGAGCATATTAAGCATTAAATAATCATATTTTTGGCACAGCGGCCCAGTAAATGTCCTCTTATGTTATTTGCGGCTTTCATCATGACGTGAATAATAGCTAGTTAGTTAGCTATATATTTTTTCGAGAGATCCCCACAGCGGGCGGAACTTGTCATAAAGTTAGTGATAACAAGGCCGACCCATTTAGAGGAAAGATGTGATTGGTCAGTTTTTCTGTCACTTGAAATTATGCTCCCATTGATTTACTATTGCTTGGCCCTGTGTAATTTCAGAGCTGGACCACCAATCACAGACCCGCAAATGCTAGGCGGAAACATTCAAATATGTTTTTGAACAAAATTTTCATTTAACCCATTCACTGAATAGGCAGATCTGAAGAGTTTATTTCCACAGAAATTGTATTTATTTTATTTAGATGATTGTCAAATGATGAATTCAATAAAAATAGAAATTATGATTTTTTTTTATAATTAAAAGCTTATCATTTTAAAGAATTTATTAAAAAAAATTGTAAATATTGTTTTTTAGGCCCTCTCTGAGGCCCTGACGGTTCCCCTCGGCTGTATGTAGTAGTTTTATGCTACCTTTACACCCTTTTTGGAGCTTGAAATGGTTAAGACTCCACAGAACAAAAAAAAATACAAGTTTGGAATGATAATAGATTATAAAAGAATTTGGTAAGACTTTACTTTAGGGACCAATTCTCACTATTAAAGGGTTAGTTCACCCAAAAATGAAAATTAGCCCATAAATTACTCACCCTCAAGTCATCCTAGGTGTATATGACTTTCTTCTTTCAGACAAATCCAGTC